AGCCCAGCGAGAAGAGCCCAGCAGTATTTAAGAATTAAAACCTCGTTTCAAGGGCTGGGCTGCTGAAAGAGCCATTAGCACAGCAGATGGCCACGAACAAAAGAGTTGCAGTAACTCGATGTACTTTTTCACTGCTTGGGCTCCCTGACTTCGTACTTGTGCGTCTCCCCGGGGAGACGACACGTTATTTTTCAGCCCCTGTAACATTTTCCCCCTGTCAGTGCTGTCGTCCTGGGGCTGCTGATACGTCAGAATGTGGTGGACGCTTTTCCAGTTAAAAAAAAAGATTCCTTTGGTTTGTATTTGGCCCAATTAAAAGTTTTATATGCGTGTTTTTACCTTAAAACCTGATGGGTGGAGGTGTGGGGTGTTGACTTTCCTTCTCAGCTCTTGTCCCAGGGAGTGTGGGAAAGCCCCAGGGCTCACTGTCTGCTCAGAGGGCGATGCTGCTCATCCGTGGGCTCCTGAACAGGGAGGATGAGCTGCTGGCTCTGCCGTGTGGCACAGTCTCACACGGATGGGGGTTTGGGAGGGGTGTTGGTTGGTGGAATGCTGGGATGTTCACTGGCTCAGTGCTGCTGTGAGAGGCTCTAGTGACAGACGTGTACCCCTCTGAGGGAGCCCACTAATCACAAATTCATATGGGGTTTTTTGGGAATTAATTCGAGCACAAATTGAGCAGCCCCAGCCTATCCTGCCTGCTTTGGCAATCTTCTCCAACCCATGAGGACACGAGATGTGCGAGTGGGCAGGAGTTGGAGATAACACCTCTTAATCCCTCCTGGTGCTCCAGCAGGAAACGCTGCTGCTGGCTGATAATTAGAAAGTGAACAGACTGTGGAAGAGATGATGTTGGCATCCCTAAATCTCTGTCCTGGGCTTGGGGGAACATCACTAATGATCTGGATTAGAAAGGCAGGGAGAGACCTGGACTTCCTGAAGATGATATGTAGGGCAAACACTGTGTGCTGTGTGGGAGATCCTGAGGGTTGTTCCGGGCAAGTGGCTCTGTTCGCTTGGTACACACTGAGGGGGTGTGGAGGCTGGAAAGCTCCACTGTGGAGTTTTGAAGAGGCAGCTGGTGCAGTCAAGGGATCAGCAAGGTCAAAATGCATTTTGCAGCAAGAGTTAGGTGTGGATGGAGCAGAGCTCCTGATCTGCCATCTCCTGAAGGTGGGAAGCAGCTGAGAAAAATGACCCTTCACAGAGGTTGGGCTGCATCCAGCTGTAGGTGCTGAGCTGAAACATGGCACAGATGCTCTTCTCCATCCTGGCAACTCCCATGAGCTCCCTGGGGGTATCATGAGGTGGGTCAGCAATGCAAAATAAGCAGGTGGCAGTGGTTTGGGGCATTGTGTCCTGGGACCAGGGTTGGGGTTCCCACTGTATTTTTTCTCGTGGACCCAGTTGCTCGTGTATCTGAAGGCAGAGATATCAAATTTACCAAGACATCAACAGGCAGTTGTCTTATCCTTTTCCTTTCCTCTCTTTCTCCCATGTTTTTAAAGTCACTGCCTAATAGCTTGTAGCAGGCTTGCTCCGTTATATGTGTTGGCAATTTTTATCCCTAAGCATGCAGAAGAAACCCACTCCAAAGCCTGCCCTTGCTCTTTGACAGCCTCCTCAGTGATAATTGTTTTCTTCAGTGCCAGCACCTCCTCTTGCTGCGGGGAGGTTTATGCAGCCTCTGTCCCCCACACACCCACCCTTGTTATCATATAAATCACAAAACAAGGCCAGGGATAAACAGGAGCTGCAGTAGCTGTTAGCCGTGTGTAAAAACAAATCACATGGAAACAGTATAATTACTGAGAAAATATCAACTTGAGTAATGCGGTAATTGTTTTCTTCCCTCCAGCAGATTTATTCCAGCTCTCCCAGCTCTTGCTGGTTTGGAAGTCTGTGACTTCACGTTAATAAGAAGAATTTCACGTTTCACGCTGCACTTGTTCAGAGCCCGGGTATGACACCGTCTGGAGCAGGGGAATATATTTTGAGCCATTTCTTGAGAGCAGTACGAAACAGAGCACTAGTTGAAATACCTCTGACAGTTGGAGTCTGCCCCAGGCTCTGGGTGGATTCTGGTCTTTGCAAACCTCTTTTCAACCCATTTTTGTGATTTAGAAGAAGGGCGGCTTCATGCCTTGCATAAATCTGGGAGCTCTGCTTTTTGGACATCATCGCATGGGCAAGATTTTTTTTTTTGCCTTCAATTTTGGTTTTTCCTTCCTCTTGTTGCTTGTCATTCCCTTGATTTAGAGAGGTGCTTGTGACATGACAGTGCCCAGTTATGTGAGGGACACTGCTTCTCTCTATTGCTATAATCGTGTCCTAATACCAGATGATGATGATCATGATCATGTTGTTTATGCTGTGACTTGCAGCTATTTCTCTTACTTAGCTTTGCTGCTCTTTTGCCTCATATTCTGCAATGTAAAAAGATAAAAATGTACCAGGAACCAGGTTTCAAAGGGGTTTTGTGCCAAGTGAGAGTTTCAAAATGCCCTGCCTTCCGTATTGGCAGAGATGTGAGAGTATCATTTGTTTCATGTGCACAGAGAGGAACCTTTCTCTCCTACATTTTTGGCAGGTAGCTTGCTTTCCTTTAGAAAAACCTACCCACCTACAAGCCACTGCCACTTCCCCTTCCTGTACCTTACTCTGAATGAGATTTTATGAACAACTTAATTTATCTTTTGCTTCTTGTGGTTGTCCTGCTCCTCTTGACTTGAAAAAAAACCCCAAAACCACAAACCCCCCCCAGTTGTGGAGAACGCAAAGCCTTTCCACTGCAGCAGACTGACCATTTTTGATGTCTAATGCTGGGAAAGTGTAACAACATGGGATCTGCTCTTTGGGATTCTTCAGAAAGCTTTGATGCTCGTCTTCTAGTTTCTCTTCTGGGTGGATGCTGGATACAACCAGCTTAGCTTTCCAGTGCCTTTGTTCTCATGGGGCTGGATGAGCCCCAGACAAGACAGCGAGGATGATGTTTTTGGGTGTTCCTTTGCTTTCTGTCCCTTGATGGCAGCAGTGGGAAGAGCATTGGTGCCTTGAGGCTGCACCCAAAAGTGGTTCCCTTCTTGATGTTTTGATGTCTCCTCCAGCTAGAGCAGGTTTTAGCAGGAGAGAGAAGGAGGAAGGTGCCAGTGAACAACGCTGATGTCCTGGGACATGGCCACTTTGTTGGGAACCATCCTCTTTTGCCTCCCCTTGTTCCAGCTGTGCTGTGGATGATGTTGTCCATCCCTTATGGAGGGAAACAGGGCAGAGCCCATCTCAGTGCCCCAGCAGACAGGGACTGCCTTTGAAGCCAGCTCCCTGTGGCTCTACTGGGCTGTGGGTGCAGCCTCCCAGGAGAGAGCTCACCATGCTTCGTGCTGACTAGGAGAGGAGCAGGAGGGAGGCCACCCTGCCTGGTTCTGCTTCACGGTAAGCACACGCTGTTGAGATGCTGAACGGTGCCAAGGTGGCATCTGCACGCTCACCATATTCGGCATGAGCTGCCACACGGCCAGTGAACAACCCAGGGCCATCATCCATGTGCTTTGTTGGATGGGGAGCACAGAGGGGTCCACGAGCCACCTCGTTTGTGGCACCCTCGCCCCGCAGGAGAACCAGCCTGGGCAGAGGGTCAGCCCTGGCCGCTCGCCAGTGGCTGTGTCAGCGCAGAGGGGAGGACGCTCAGCACCAGTTGGCGCAGAACAATGTTGGCTTTGTACAGGGCTGCTGTAATGAAGGTAGCAAAGTTGTGTGAACTTCTTCCCTTGTTCGCCTGCCCCCGTCCCTCCCCTCCTCCCTACAGCAGCTGCGACGTGCTGGCTGCCCAGCCTGGCAGCGGTTTACGGTTACAAACAGAGCCACCACTCCTCCTCCTCCTCCTCCTCCTCCAGGAAAAGAAATCCATCCGCTCTCTAAGCAAATGAATAGATAAACTTTTAATTAAGGTGTTGGATAGCTGCCAGAGAGGAGCGTCCCGGGTCAGGGTAGGCTGGTGGTTTGCCATGATCCCCATCTGTGTGGCCAGTGGCTATTAAACAGCTTCTTCATCCCAGGTGTGTTCATCCGTGGTGGGCAGACTCATCCAGGCGTGCAGCTTGTGTTGGCAGGAGATGGGCTCTTCTCTTGGAGCTGGAGAGGTGAAGGGAGGTGTGCAGGAGGGATGGCGTGGCTCTGGGATGCTCCTGGGATACCAACTTGTTGGGCTCAGCAAAGTTGTTGCATGGCTGGGGGCGAAGCTGAATGTTTTGGTGCGTTTTCCCTCCAGACCGTGGCCAGTAGAGCTGCTCCCTGTCATGGCCACGGAGGTTTTGCTGATCTCTCCAGTCTCTGACTTGAAGGCTCTTGTTGACCTGAGAGCCTCTTCCCCTGGGATTTGCAAAAAGTTGTCAGTTTGGTCTATTTTTATCTTGACTCACCTGTGCCCTTTCTCTCTGTTTCCGGATGGATGCGTTTAACATCCAACAACTGGAGCACCCCCAGAGTTTAACAAGAGATGGAGGAGGGCTTCCATGAAGGAGCTGGAAGCCCTCTTTCCTCCCAGGGGCTGCCCTCATAGCCCCTTCTCCTTCTCTGTGGTTAATGCTGCTCTTATCTCACAGCTGTGGCTGTGTCCAAGGAGGATGTGTCTGTGATGCCTCATTTTTATGGAGAAGATGTAGCCCTGAGCCCTATGAAGGGACAGTGTTGTTGAGAGCTTCTGAATATGGATGTGTTTATTGATCCTGTAGGAATGCAGGTAGCACTCAAGGTGGTGGGAGCCTCTGAGGCTCTGGCAGGAGGAAGATCTGCTGTCACATCCCTGGGAGAGTAACCTGGTGCTCTCCGGAGATGCTGGGGGTTGTGGAGGTGATGTGATCTGACAGCTGGTACTCCCTAGTCTAGCAGGTTTTTTGAGGGTTTCATGTATCTTAGAAGGCTGGGAATGGGCCAGGGAGCTGTGGGAGGATAAGAGAAGAATCCTTGGGAGAGAGATGACCTGGTTGTTTTATATTCCCCAGGATCGAGGCCTGCCTGGCAAACTGGAGCCCGTGTCGCCTGTGAGCCCTGCTCACCCTGACGCCGAGCTGGACCTGCTGCCGGCCCGGCTGTCCAAGGAGGAGCTCATCCAGAACATGGACCGTGTGGACCGCGAGATCACCATGGTGGAGCAGCAGATCTCCAAGCTGAAGAAGAAGCAGGTAAGAGGCTGTAATCTGCAGGGGAGCACACGTCCTTGCTTCTGTGTGCCACCTTATGCCCTGTCCTCGCCCATGCATGTCCACAGGGGAGAAGTGGCAGTGCCAGTGCACCAGGAGCATCTGTATCCCTGCTCCCTGTTGGGACATGGGAGGTCACTGCTGTGCCAGCAATCTGGAGCTGGTAGTTGCGAGATGAGGGAGGGAGCTTTGGAAATCCAGCTTGTGGGCTCTTTGCCTGTCAGAGAACCTTAAAGGGAGAAAAATATGTCCTTGGTGACTTGCCCATGAGCATGCAAGTGGTCAGCAGCAGAGTGGAAGCACAGGCTGGGTTGCCCAAGTTGTCTGAACAGCCCAGCATAGCACAAGGTCTTTTCTTTTTCCTTTCCAGCAATTGTCTCTCCCCAGTGCTGTTGCTGGCAGTGTTCAGGACTGGGCTGTTTAAAACATTGCTGTGACATCCTAATGGCCCTTCCTGTGCACCCAGTCCCCATCTTTGGGGCTTTCCAGCTCTGCAGCCATGAGCAGCATCTGGTCCAGCTGCAGTCTGGGCTGTGCCTGAACCAGGGATTTGAATTTTCTGGTTGCTGCTTTACCCCTGCACAGGAGCACTCCCCACCAGAAGGATGGGCCTCTTGGTGTTGGCCTGTACACAATTACCATAAACCCATTAAGAGATTAATATGACAAAACCTTTGGGGACGTCTGTGAAAAAACCCACAGACTTAAAGGCTTTCTCTTCTTGAAGCAAATCACTTGTCTGTCTCTCTCTTTCTAGTTGTTTTATTTTCTTTGCTCGGGGCCAGTTTCTGAACCTCCTTAATGACTGCTAATCCCAAACTGCCTGAGAGGAGCCACCTTTCCCAAGGGGTATGCAGTAGGAATTTGGTAATGGAGCAAAACCTCTATTTGGGCTGTTGGATGAAGCTCCTGGAGGATGAGCATGCAGTTGACCTTCCCCAACAGTTCTATGTTTTCCCATACCAAACACTTTTCCTTTCTGTCCTGCAAGACAAAGCAGGATGTTTTGGTTCTGCTTTCAAACAGTATGGTTTAATTAATGCAAAGGACCCTTTTTTTCTGTGTGTTGCTTTATATCTGCAGTGGCATCAGAGTGCTTAGGGAGAGGGAACCAAGAGTGGGCAGACGCAGCTGTGCTGGGGGTGCAAGGAAGCAGCCCTGTCTGGCAGCTCACAGAGCCCAAAGGAGCATCTGGAGCAATGGAAACCACAGAGGTTCCTCTTGCTGGTTTTGGTGGGAGCTGGGTGAAGGCAGCCTTTCCCCTCTCCCTCCTAGGAGGCTCAGACAAAATGCTGGTGTCCTCTCCCACTTGGCAGTCCAGCTGCTGGTCCGTTTTTAACTCACATTTGAGGAAGGAGGTGCAAACCATGGTTATTTCCTACTGTGGAGAAAGGCTTCCCGAGTGGGATACGTGCCCAGCATGGCAGTGAAGGTCCCTTTCATGGCAGTGGGAAGGACTGACAACTCCAATGATCCACTGCCTGACTTTTCAGGGATGCTGAGGAGCTGCTGCTGACGCTGATGGAGCATATGCTCCCTGCCGTTAAAATCAAGCTGTCCTTCCGTAAGGAAATGTTTTTTTTATTGTTGGCTGCTTGGTAGCTTTACTTCTTCCCTGTGAACAAATTTTATGATTCTTCTTCCCCACAAAAATGCTCTGGTAAGGGGAGAGGAAGGTGAAAGTGGCTTTTGGCAGTAAAAGAGTCCCCTCCCCTCCTTTGTTATTTTATTTTCATTTTTTTCTTTTTTGGCACATGGTGGAAAAGTCATTTGGTAGCAAATCTGACCCCCCCAATATGGCCTCCTTTCCCCTCTGGCTGGAGCTTTCCCCATCCTGGTCCTCCAGCAGAGCTGGCACATCTGGAAAGAAGTGTTTTTGGAGCGGGAGGTCCTGTCTGAGATGCTCCAGGAACGTTTTGTCCATCTGTGCATCTGAGCTGTCGGCGCAGGGGGACGAGCAAGGGAAAGCAATCAGCCTGGAACAGATACTGCTCCTGCAGGAATGGTGGTGGAGCAGGGGAGAAATTGTATGCAGCCGGAATATCCTAATGCTTTTCCCCTCTGTCTTTGGGAGGCCTTCTCAGGGTAATTAAACACATTCGTATGGAAAGGCTGTGCAAAAAAAAAATCCCAACCGACCCCAAACCACCATTTTTCTCTTTTTGGTTGTTCCAGAAATAGCAGGGAAGGCTCTGCCTGGACTTTGCAAGAAGCAAATGTCTTCAGCAAGCTGAGAAACCTTCCCCAAACCCTGCACACCCCTGGCAAGAGGCCACCTCTGTCAGCCATCCCCCGCTCATTCATGCACCATATGTGCTTAAATCTCTCGCTGAGTCCTCTCTCCCCCTCTTCCTGACAGGGAAGGATAATCCTTATGCATTTATTCCTGGCAGCAGTACCGGGGATCTGAAGGAGAAATAAACTGCTGGGCTGTTCTCTGCAGTGGCGCCTGAGCCTCCTTGGGCGCCAAGCTCAGCAAAGGGCTCTCCGGGAGTACAACACTCCCACCTGGTGATGGAGGTAGAGCCGGCTGGGTAGAAGAGCTCCAGGGTTTCCCCTTCCATCTTGCTTCTGGCTGAGTTTCCTCTGTTCTCCCCTTGTCTCTTTGAAAGTGGTTTTCAGAGATGCCCTGTGTCTGGAAGTCTCTCCATTCCCTGGGCAGATAAAGCATCCCAGTACCCAGGGGATGGCAACTGGGTGCATGTGGAACAACCCTGGCTTCCTCAGGCAGGTGCCTCCAGCACGGGAGCTGGTAGGTGTGGGGATGGGGTCTTCCTGAGATGCCACCCACATTCCTGCCAGCACTGCAGGTTCCAGTGGCCCCTCTGCAGCGTGTGGTCCAGCCAAAGGGACTCTCACCTGGAGAGAGCACCTTCTCCACTTGGAAGCGGGTTGGCCTGTGGGTGCTGTAGGAGCCAGGGCTATGGCTAATGATGGCATCTTGCATCCCTTCAACACTACTGCATTGTCTTCCATTTGGGGAGAGGAGGGGGCTCTCAGGCAGACGCTGCTGGGTGTGGGGAGGGAGAGAGTGTGGAGCCGTCAAGACTCATCTCTCATCCTGCTTCTCTCCCTGTAAAGGTCACAGTACCAACCTGGCTTTTATGGCAGACCTTTAAAAAATCTATTTTGTCCCTGTCTGGGAACCCTGACCTATTTTGCTTTGCCATTTCCCATGGCTCCCAGGAGTAGCTGTTGCGGGCTGAGCCTGCTGCAGTCAGGTGTGCTGCCTCTAACCCCTCCTCCCATCCTTACCTCCAGCATCTGGCCCTTTAATAACCATACAGCACTACGCCACAGAGAGTAGAGTTTAATTCTCTACTGTATTTCAGCTATAATTAGATTTGTATTTTTTCGTCTAATGAGCTGCATTTAATGAGCCTCCACTTAGTGGCAAACTTTCGTTTCCTGATAGGCCATCAAACCCTCTTGTCTGAAATCCCTTACCACACACTTGGCAGAATTTTTGTGGGTTTCCAGAACAATATAGCCAAGTTTCGGATGCTTTGACTTTTTTTGTTTTGTTTTTTTAACGCAAATATTTTCCCCGAGAGAAGTAGAAGATGTGTCTGATCCCTTTTGGTGGTTCGTCCTTTGGAGTTTTTGGAGTTTGTCCCATGGGATGTGTGGTAGGGTGCCTTAGGACACCAAGGAAGAGCAGGCAGGTGCCCGAGTACCGCTTTGCAGCACATGGTTTCAGCCGTGGCTTCACGGAAAGCTTCTCACCCGTGGCTGGAGTAACCCCGAGGTTAAGTCCTCAAGGTGGGCATGGTGATGGTAATGTAGGGGACCTGGGCCCTCCTGCCTCTGTCAGAGCCTGCTCCCCACTCTGGCTGGCAACGGCAGCTTCTTTTGGCTATATCTGTGTTCCCCATGCTTCTGCTTTTCCCTCTCTGGGAAGAGGTGTCCACCTGTGGGGAGGTGGAGCCCACAGCATGGGGTCCTTCATCTATTGAAACACACTTAATTTAAGGTGTGTGAGTTTTCTCAGCCAAGCCATTAGACCTATCTGGGTGCTTAAGTGCGTTCTTGGACTGCATCCTACTGCCTTAGTGTGCTAAAGGTGTTGTCAGCAGGACCAGAGATGATCTGGAGGAGGAGTAGGTGCCCACCTTCTTCTCAGATCACCAGTCACTGCTGTCTCTGGGAGGTCAGTGGTGCACTTGCCTCTGGTGCAAGCCAAGTCCCAGATGCATTTTCTTCCTACTACAAGACTCGCTCGATTTTCCCATGCTTCAACAGGGGATACTTTAGCTGGAGGAAAAGAGTAAAATGATTTGTACTTTTCAGAGATTCAGAGCCGAGCAGTGAAAAAAATCCTGAGCGTTTTTTGACAGCCGCTCCCTCTCCCGTGCCTGTGCTGCCCCACAGCTGCCGTGCACGGCTGCGCTCTCCCTCCTCCAAGGCTGGCCCCAGGAGGAGCCTGGAGGAATCTGTGATTTCCTCTTTCAGCTGAGCAGTTCCTCAAACTTACAGGAAGGGCTTCGACGTCTCCTCCTGCATCGCAGTGTTGGGAGAGGCGGAGGTGCAGGTGGAAAGTCAGGTTTACCTGCTGATCACGGTGATATTCTAAAGTGCAGGGGTGGCTGGTGCCCAAGTCATTTAATTGAGAACAGTCATCCTGAGGCATCTTCTCCAACTGCTCCATTGGGAGGGAAGCCGAAGGTGGAGAGCAGCCTTGCAGGCTCCTCCACCGGTCCCTGCACACAGCAGCAGCTCCAGAGGCAGGTAGCAGCAGGGAGCTGGGCTGGAGCTCTGTTTCATTTAAGGGCTTCCAGTGAAATCGTTATTTCCAGCCTCAGGCCTGCTCCAGGAGGCTTCTCTGAGACAGGCCCTCAACCTCCATGCCTAAAATGCACCGACCCACCAGCACGGGGCCTGTGCCTGGGGCAGGCCAGCACTGCGCTTGCGTGGCAGGGGCTGCTGTGCAGCTCCCCTCCCTCTCCCCATCCCTCCACAGCCCCAGCCTGCCCGTGTCTCGCAGGAAATCTCCTGCCATGGCGGTTTCTGCCTCGGTCGCGGCATCACAGAGAGTCTCGTGTGGACGAGGGCGGCTGCGTTTCTTGCTGTGACTCACCCTCCTCCTCCCCCCTCTTCTTCCACAGCAACAGTTGGAGGAAGAAGCAGCCAAACCACCAGAGCCTGAAAAACCCATCTCCCCTCCTCCTATCGAGTCCAAACATCGCAGCTTGGTGCAGATCATCTACGACGAGAACAGGGTGAGTCTGGAAACGATGGAAGTACAAACGCATGATCGTGCAGTGTCACCCTGGCCAGGGATGGGAGGTTGGTAAGAGCCAGGTGGGGGATTCTCCTGGGCATTACCCCTGGGGTGGAGGCCACGGGAGGGGGATAGATGGAGCCCTGTCGGGACAGTGACCACAGAGGGCTGAGCCATGAGGAGCTTGCTCTGCCTTTGTGGATGAGCACTAATGTCTTCCGAAGAACCTGCCTGGGGGGTTTTCTGCGATCAGCCTTAGATATGAGGTGTTCAGGACATGCTTCAGACTCCTCTCTGTAAAATAGTTTGTTTCATCCTCTCCCCTGGGAGTGAACCTGGTCGAAAGCTGCCTCATAGGATGGGCTTTGGTGTGGTGGGGTGGGCTGCATGGATGGAGGGGGATGTCTGTGGTGCTCCAATACTGGCAGGCCAGCTACAAGCTCTCCTGGCTGCCCCTGAGCCCCCCAGGCTGGAGCGTAAGGGATGTGGATGCAGCCACGGCTGGATTTGTGGATATTGGATGCTGTAAATAGCATTAGCAAAGGTCAGGCTGGCATCCCTGGCTCTGGATCTCTGCCTTGACCGCTCATTTGTCAGCCGTTGCCTGTAATAGCAGCCCGAGGAGACATGAATTTTGCTGTGTGCATCGGAGTGATGCTCGGAAATTGGGCCCTTTGGTAGATAATCAAGCATATTCATTTTCATTTAGGTGTTGGATAAAAAGGATGATTTTGCATAAAAGGAAAACTACCAGTCGCTAATTATTTTGAATTGCAAGGCCTGCGATTTCACTGGGAGCTGCAGAAATCCAGGTGCCCAACTCCTAAAAAGAAAAAAAATCGCCTACCCTGCGCTCCCAGGCAGTGCAATTTTCCTGGTTTTCCTTTTTCCATCTCCTTCTCTCCCTGAGCAGTAGGAAACCCAGCACTGACACGGTCTGTCGTGCGAGTGGGTGAAGGCTGAGGTCGATGTGTTTGTAGCATTAGGAATCACCAGCTTTACAGCACTGGGCTTTGGGGGCAGGTGTTGAATGTTCCTCAAAGCCATTCTCACCACCAAGTGCCCTCTCTGGGGGTCTTGAGCTTGATGGCTTGTGCCTCCTGTGCAAGGAGTGAGATTCAAAGAAAGGAGCTCTCAAACATTTTTATGCCTTGAGCCTTATCCTCCTTGGATACTCTTGTGTAGCTGGACCATGTTACAAGGGGAAGAAATGGGTCATGGTGCTGAGGCAGGAGGGAAAGGAGATCTTCAGCCATTGCATTTCTAACAGGCTGCATCGTAGCAGTCCCTGTTAGCTGAAGCTGGCTCAGGGCTGAGTGTCCTGCTTTGTCACCTCTTGCTGCCCATGCAGCAGAAGGGTCACACATTCCCTCCCACCTCCCTGAGTCTCCCATCACCTTTTTCCATGGCAGACAGGGTATGCTCTCAAAGCCTTACCATGGCTCAGGGCAGTGCCTTGGGGTTGCTGCCCTGTTCCATGGGTGATGGCAGGGAGCGTGGAGAGCAAGCATGGAGTTCTACATTTCTCCTTCAAAGTGCATGGCCATAACACCTGGGACACTGTCACAAAGAGTGCTCAGAGCTGATGGCATCCCTTTGTCAGCGCTGGGCTGATCCTCAGAGCCAGCCTTGGTCCCAGGAGTGTTTCACTATTAACCTTCATGATAGGTGCACTTGTTCCAGGTGGGTGCTCAGCAAGTGAAGGTCACATCAGACACTGAATGTCTGCATAATTTCAAACCTGGCTTCGTGTTCGCGTCTGCGTGATCCCTGGGATGGGTGAATGATGATTCTTCCCTCTTCTTGTAAAGTCCCCTTGCGTGTAGCGTGTAACAAGCCTGACTGTGGGTAGGAGACTCAAACCAAACCACCTTCCCCTTGGCTTGACAGAAACCATAGCAGGCTGCAGGGAGGTTCCTCCTTTGGAGAAGGCAAATCTATCCATGGGCAATGGAGAGGTGACAGCCTTGCTGCCCCAGTGTGATGGCTGAGGCTGGGTGATGGAAGGACCTTTCGAGTACCATAGCTGGGACATGCCAAGCTGTGGGCTGCAAAGGAAGGGTGTGCTGAGCATTGCCTTCATTGTATGTGACAAAGGTGGGATACAGAATGCAATTGTCCTTCTAAAGAACATCCCGGCTTTCAGCCTTTCACATATTGGACACATTTGGGATGCAGTTTGGTGTTGACTGCTCTTACTGTCAGGCCAGGAAGAGAAAAGGTGGAAGAGGAAAGGACTTGGGAACAATATCAGTTGAGATCATGAGTGGAAAAGAGTGGCTGCTGGTTGGATATCGAGTTGCTTTGAGTGGGTTTGGTGGCAGCAGAACCTCCAGGTGTATCCACCTGTCTGTCAGACATGGGAGAGCCCCAGGCACTCTTGTGCTGACCCGCGGCTTTGCTGCGGCTTAACACTTAATTGCAAGGTGAGTTGGTAGGAGCAAAGAGCCATGAGCCAGATAAGAGACATATTGATCTAGAGTGGAGAAGGTCGCTGAGCCAAATTTTAAGCCTTTCTGCCTCTTCTGTGCTGTGGCAAAGCAGTGAAGTTGATGCCTCGAGGTCTGCTTGCAGGAAAAGCATTGGCAGCGGCTGAGCCAGGGCTCCAGCCCGCGCACAAAGGGAAGGAAAGCCGGATTTACTCGCATCTCTTGGCTTGTGGCTTGAGGGAGGCAGCGCACGGTAAGAAATGCAAATAAAAAGAGGATATTCAGCCCTCGGGAGGAGGCGAGAGAGCAAAGCACCCCAGAAGAGCTGGCAAAGCCTGAAATGATCTTTTAAAGAGCAATGTTGTGGAAGGGGCAGAAAGCCAGCCCTTGTGTCAATCCCAGAGCAGGTGGGAGCCGGTGGCTTCGTGGAGGGGCTTTCTGCCTGGCTCTGGCTTAATTTTTCATGAAGCACGGGTCTGTGCTTCACCGAGCACGCGGGTGCTGCCGTGCCCGTTCCCACCGCTCCTGCCAGGCTGGGCCGGAGTCGCACACTGCGTGCAGTTATACCCTGAACAAAGGAGAGACCAGAAACGGTCCATGGGAGAGGAGAGGTTACATGAGGACAGAGCAGCTAGAAACGCCGGAAAATCAAGTTAGCCAGCCATTCTGTGACCTACTTTCCTTTTGGCGATAGCTGTGGCTTTGCAGGCGTGAATGGTTTCTAATTTTAGCTTATGGTTCATCAGGGAAGTCTATATATTTTTCTCACCACCGGGCTGCATATGGATGAGGGGTTGGGATGCAGGTTGGCACTGGACTGTATCCGATTTTCTCAAAATTCAGGTTGGCTGATGCTAAATGCCCATCACGCTGCTGTTCCCTCTTGTGACCTACTTAACACGTACGATTTGAAAGTTCCTCGGTGTCAGGGAGGATAATTATGGAAAACATGACCTGTAATCCCCTTTTGCTACACTCTGCTGGACAAGTAATTGATTTCCAGAAAAAAAAGGTGACTGTACAGATTCTGCGGGGGAAGAGTGGAGGAGTGCGGTCAGATCCTGAACTGTGAGGCTGTGGTTGCATTTGGGAGGGCTTTAGGTGACTTGGATTATAGAGGGACAGTTGATACTCCATATCCAGGTGCCTCCTGCCCCTGGGGTATGTGCTGTCTGGAACCACTTCATCTGGTCTCCAAAGCTGAGCTGTGAAGTTGCACGCGAAAAAATACCTTTTGGGAAATCCTCGCAGTAAACACAGAGAAACCACACACCCCCAAGGCAAAATTTCAACTGTGAGTGCAAACTGTACCATTTCTGAAAGGATGTATGAAAATGGGAATTAACATTTTTGGTATTGTCCGTAGATTAAACTGAGAACAAACAGTGGGCAGCATTGTCAGAAGCATTTGAGGCCTATATTCAAAAGTGTGTTTAGTCCTTGAAGAGACAGAGCAATGTTTGAGAACAGTAATGGTGGCTAAAATCTCCGAGAGCATTTGGAAGGTGCCATGGGGAGCTCAGGGGACCATTTTGGCTGTAGGGTACTCGGGTGCAGAATAGGGTGTGTTTTGCAGCCCTGGTCATCCCCTCTTCAGGAGCCAGGTGCTGGCAGAGTGACACAGAACTACCTGGGGAAACCGGGTTGTGATGGATGCCTTGGTTGCTGCTGGAGGCTGACAGTGATGCACGTGTTGGGGATCTCCTGAATTAAACCCTGTGAGCGATTTTAGTGTCTCCCCTGCAGGGGAAAGCTGATCCCTGCTGGGTCTGGCACCTCAGAGGTGGTAGCTCTGTGTGACACAGCCTCCTTGAGGGCTTTAATTTGTACCTCTGGGATGTGTTACTGTACCAACAGAATTTAGCTTTCTTCCACATCAAATCCCCATAACCAGGGCAGATCATCTGTGTGTATTTTTAGCTGTGGCTTTATTCCGCTGGGCCATTCACGGGATTCCTTGCATCTGTCTTCCCTTGAAATCGATTGAACATACCTGGGCTTGAAGATGTTTTTGTGCTTTAAATGGAAATTTCCAGGTCCCTTGTTAAGAACGGAGAGGAGAGCAGTGTTTCTGTTGTTCCAGATGCTCTGTGCCTTTCCTGGGACATGGGGCTGGCTGAGCTCTCCTTGGCAGTTTGTCCTGGAGGAAGCTGCTGCTCAGCAGCACACCATGGCTTGGCTGGGTGAATTCTCTTTCAAGTCACCTGTGTGCCCAAAGTCCCCATCAGTCACCACACACCACATGCAAGCAGAGGTGCCTGGAGGTGCCTGTGCTGTCTCTCTGACCACTGTGGAGATGGAGCCCACAGGTGCCCGTCTCCAGCTCTCAGCGAGCCAGACGTGGGTGGTTGGAGGCTCCCTGCAGTCCTGCCATCCATCGGAGCAGCAGGACTCCTGCTCAGAGACCAGCAGATACAAAGCAGCTCCCTTGCTTGTGTCAGGCCTGTCCCTGCAAACGAGCACACGTCAGCTTTCCTCTGAAACATTGGCACTTATTTATCGGAGAGGGAGAGGTCGCGTCAGGACATGGCGTGACTTCGCCCTCCGCTGCCACGCCGGGGAGGGGACG